CGTTTTTGCTCTTGTATTGAATGGTCTGAGAATGTGCACTGGAATAACGTTTGTGAACTTTTTCTTAGCTGGTTTTCCAATTTTGTTGGCTGTTATAACATCTGAGGTATATTTATCCAACGAGCTGTTGTGACTTCATATAAGCGAAAGATTTCAAGGGTTTTTTTGGAGGGACAACTATTCATGCAGCAGCTTTTTTTCGAGTAGCTTGATCCAAGACACCAACTACCAGGCGATCTCTAATGTGGAATCATGTAGTTTGAAGCAATTTTCAATACTGTAGTATAGACATTTTTCACCTGATTTCTGGACACGCATTTTAGTGATCAGTGTTATTTATCATTCTGTTAAAACTGAGCGAGTTGAAAGCCTTAAATGCCGACTTAGAGAAATATTGCAGTAAACAGTCAGTACGGATCCTATCGGTTTCTTTGATGCCTGAAGGTATCAGTTTAACAATACCTGTTTAAAAACTTCCCAATCAGTAGCACGACTATTGGAGAGGTAAAGTTTATCGGGAAACGGTACATGAAAACGAGATGCCATTTTTGATGATCCAAAAGAGGTGGTTGGTGTGCACGGGGAACTGCTATGTTCGTTTGAGAATCATATCCTACTTCCGATACCATGTCACAAGAGACCGATTTATACGTCTTGCGTCCGGAATAGCTTGTTAGGACCTCGTTGACCCATGTGACGTTTTAATCGGTATATCAGAATATGTTATGACACTGTTCATATCAAATTAATGTATTTAAAATATATTGTAAAGACGCCAATTGGGAATAAGATTTACCATTTAAATTGATGTGTTTTAAATATGTTTTAAATACACAATGCAAAATTGTATATAAAAGTTAGAAATAATTACAGAATTGCCATAATTACAGTTGCCTTGAAATACAATAATGGTTTGATTATTATGATGATTGTTGATACTGGGAATAATGATTTTAATTGTCCAGCAGTATCATCCACAAAAAAAAAACAATTTTCCTAATGACATTAAAATTGTAACAATGTGAATAATAAATAACAATGGAAATAGTATATATCATTGTGGTACACTATCTGCTTCTGGCCACTTTTATTGCCTTTGATGCTAACTGACATTTGGTGACTAATAAGATAATCACTAAACTATGCAAATGTACTATCCGTAACCCCTATTTCACTGAGCCTGTACAGTAAAATAACAACGACAGCAAAAGATCTAAGAACATGACACCTGTTGATTTGTTAACATTAGTAAAATTTTACAATATACTAGAAAATCGTCAAGTCAATTCCTTAAAGTATGCGACTTTCTTGAAATCACTGTTCATTGGATACTGAAGAAGGTTGATACGCGAATAGAAAATAAAATAAATGCTCCAACAATATAAAAGTTTCCCTGTTGATCAATATTGATGTGACCATAGCAGTAGCTGATACAAAATATCTGATATCATATCAGAGAGCAATTGTGACGAGAATTCCACATCATATCTCTAGGCTTTTAAATATGCACAACAGTGACATGGACGCAAAAATAGATGAATACATAGTTAGTTACATTGTAGAAAATACACATAATATATCCTACAGGGTCGACTACATTGCAGATACAATAAAAAAACGATATATTTGCAGGTGTATCGCAGTGATTGACGCCGTAGTGAAGTCTCTGTTCAAAGGGTGGGGCGTGGACGTATTAGACAAGTTTACACAAAAACGGTAGGTCAGTATAGTTCTGAGGTTTGGATCAATCTTTTCATATTGGACGTATGACTAATTTATTTCATTATATGTTTGTAATACGTTAGAGTATTAAGTCCATGAGTGCATTCGAGTATATTTATAATACACAGGTTAATTCAATTTCCAAACAAACAAACTAACAAACAATATTAACAGATGACAATGATAAATTGCATCATACCCTTACATCCCGTTCGACGCCCTAGCTTTTCAAATAAAAGTGAGTGACTATAGATTCAATTATTAAAATTCTATAGTTATTGACCAATTGCAATGAGACACACACTGCTGCTCCTCAATTCCCTGAAGTATAGAAACATCATTGTGAGTGTACGGCTCAGTGTTCTCGTGGGTTTGCCAGCCCTACTGATGCTTCCTTTGCCGGTTGAATAATTAATCTTTTCTCATATAATATCATCACGTAAGACGTTATCATGTAGTTTGTTTAAAAAATGATTAGTCGTGTATCTTACAGCCATATGCTTGGCGTCAGTGCATTTATATTGGCTATATAAGCAGCATACCTGGAACAGAATGTGCACATGTGAAACAGCGGCCTGTCTTGAACGAATTGGACATTTTCCCGATTAAGATGAATGTCAGTTTTGTTGATTGGAACATCACGGCGTATTCCGTACAAGACTTACGTCGTGTTTTAGGAGTGAGAGACATAGTGTTCATCTGTATATCTACCCTTGTTATGCTCACTAACCTGGTAGTAATGATAGCTTTCATTACTTCGTACAACTTGAGGGAACGCCTGGCTAATTATTTCATACTAAACCTTTCAATCAACGACTTCGCTACGGGATTCCTCAATGCAACATACTATGGATCATATCCATTTCGTTTCATGTATGGTCCGTTGTTTTGGTTGATTCTATCTTCAACGCAGTCAGCCGTATATACGTGCTCGTTTGTTTCGATGTCACTGGTAAGTCTGGATCGATACATCTATATCACATCGCCATTGCATTACCATTTGAGAGTGACTGCCATACGTGTGAAGGCAGCAATCATACTTTCCTGGGTGATACCAATAATTATAATGATGATTATACCAAATATCGTAGATCTCTTCTATAATGTAATCGAAGATCCTCGTCATTTTAATATATCTACCTATGTTAATATTGCTGGTCCTATTATGGTCATCATCACTGTGTCGACAATGCTATTTACCAGTGTTCGTATTTTATTCGAAGCTCGTAAACAACAAAGAAAAATCAATAACCAAGTTATGACGACAGCCACCCAGGTACAATCATTCAAACCAGCAGTTGAAATTCGACGTTTGATCAATACTGGTGTCTTGGTTTTAGTGTATTTGGCTATGTGGTTGCCGTATGTTATTATAGCGGCTGCAGCTATTTCACGAACGATGAACTATGATATGATCGATGTGGCGGGGGGATTTATATTTTTAAATTCATGTATAAACCCTTTGTTGTATGCAATGAATAGTGATTTTAAGAAAGCCTACCTTAAGATATTTTATTTCATAATAAGGAGTCCATGAGCAACAACAATTGCAATATAGTGATGTATTTTATGTACTTATTATAATGCTTCAGTAATGCAATTGTTCGTTCCGCATGCAACGCCAACTAGGTTGCTCAGTCGTCTTGAAGATGACAAAGTGGGAACTGTGACTGTCGTCTCAACCGCTGAAAATGTTCAAGAAGCAAAAGGCAGCTAAAAAAGGATGGCGACTCATTTTTGGATCCTCAAGGTGTAATTCTGGTAGATTTGTTGTTAAAAGGAAAAACAATAACTCTTAGGCCTACATTGATACCCCGACGAGGCTAAGAACATGAACTCGACGAGTATGACCCAACTTGCGAATCTACAATATCCTTCTTCTGCATGACAATGCTCAACCACACCCAATCATCAGGCCAATGAAGCCAATCGCCAAATTTGGCTGGACAACTTTACCATATCACACCAGATTTAGCACCTTCAGACTACCATTCATGTGGCCCTATGAAAGAGGGTTTGAGAGGGCAACATTATTTCAGTTACGAAAAGAAGTGGCTCAAAAAACAGTCAACATAATTTTACGGGGCACGGATGGGATATGGTAGAACATTGCTAATCAGAGGAAACAGAGACTATGTTGTGAGGTATGGATGTGATCCCCCAGATCAACTTCATTTTGATCTATGATACATGTTCCTGTTTTGGTAATTATACTATCTAGTGACATAACTTGTTGACTCACCCTCGTACAATCTTCATAAAAGATGGCTACTGTGTTTCAAAGTTATTGATTACAGAACACTTTGGTTGGAACTATAAAGATATCTACGAGACAGAACTTTTGTCATATTTGCAGTGTCTATAATTATATTAACTTTATTACATTAAAATTTCACAATAGTATGAAACACATATTTGTCTAAATATCTTTCAATTACGACAACAATCATTCTAAGCTGTGGTGGTTTAATTATTTGTACTAAACATTTATATGAATTATCGGGTTATATTATCACAGTGCACTACTGTTTAGATTCAACAACTTGCTGTTTAGGATAGGGATTATAAACATATATTTCCGGAATTTGATATATAGATTGTTTACTTATTGTATTTAGTAGTGGCGACTTTGCAAGGCTTTAACCGTGGGACACATCTCTGGTAATCACGTGATCGTACCAACGTCTACAGCGATTGGGGATCACATATTTACTCCGCCACGCCTTAGAGACTTGACTTTCAATATTGAGAGTTTGTATCCTGAGAGTGAGAAGTACGAGAGAACTGTAAAGCGAGGGGTTACCTCAGATGACTATTTGGAGAATAAAGCTCGACTATATGTAATGAACGAATGTGTATTTGTGTAGTATCTGGTATCTCTACGTGTATGCCTTATTAGCTAAGTGAGTTAAGTTCCCCTAATACAAAGTCAGTGTTCGTAACAGAAATTAAATATCAAAAATGACACAATCCTCGTTTGTACTCTTCCAAAATGATACCTTAGGCCACACTGATTTAATTTTATGGATGACATCCTCTGGAGACCCACAAACTAATGCGAGAGGGCGAAAAAAATGCTGTAAAAAAAATCCTTCTAAAACCACAGGACTACGAAGCTGCTATTACGAATTGAACCACAGAACACAATGTATCAAAAAACAACAAGAAGTCTTTATTTGTAGGAGGCACATGTTGATATACACATCTCGTACTGTATTACTGTCACAGGTATAACCATTTCAGACAAGCTCTAGTACATGTAGTCATGATGAAGTACCTTCAGTCAAAAACACTGCATTCAAGGTACAACATGAACATCATTTTCAGTACAAGTCAAGGCGGAATGTACATATCACTACTTTATGACAATAACTAACAAAACATTGCAATGATACAGAAATGTCTATGCGTGCTCCTTTCTACACAGTAGGGGTTAGCTTTAACCAATCTCTCGTATAGCTGTGTAAACTTCACATCTCCCTGGCCGACGTCAATTGCGTACCAGTCTACAACAATCCCACAGTTTTTCCACTGAACTTTTATACTCGCGTATTCCCGGCAACGCAATACGCATGTGCAGAAGATCATTTACGACAAAATTGACACGTTTTTAGATAGTCCAAAAAAAGTTTTGCGACAATATGAGTCGGCAAGTTCCGGACAGAAAACCGATTTGTAGAGACTCGTCGTCGGAGATTTTTTTTTTTTGAGAACAGGCGAAAACTAATGCGCGCGTGGATGTCAT